TGGGATCTCCTTTCCTTTTACCTTCCAGGGCAGCCCTAACCCCGCTCCCCTCGTACGAAAACACACAGGAAAGGGGTTTCTTTTCTGCTTGATTAGATTCAAAGGGATCTTTGTCTGGGGGTAGGTAGGGAGAGGCCCTCCCCCTCCTCCCTTTTGACCCTCAAGACTCAGTCTGGTTTTGGTTTAAACTGAGAGAGACAGCGTTGTGCCCGTGGGATGTTATCAATACAGACCCTGAGGGATGGAGGGGGGGGGGGGGGGGGGAGTTTTCTTCCCCCAGATCAGAACTGCAGTTGGCCCCCAGATGCAGAGGGGATCCCTGAAAGATCCCCCCCCCCCCCCTCCAATCTTACAGCCACCCCCGTGCCCCCATCACCACCTTGCAGAAGCTTCCCCCCCCCCTCCAAGCAGAGCCCCCAGCCCCAGGCTGCAGGCACACAAGGCACAGCAGCCCCCCATGCATGCAGCTGCGCATCCCCAGGCACCCACACCAGCTTTGCAGTGCGTGCAACAGGTCTGTGGTGCAGGAAATGCATCGCACGCTTTGTGTGTCCTTCTTCTTCTTCTTCTTTTTTCCCCCCTTTTCCTGCCTGCATTTTCTTTCATTCAAAAACAAATCGATGCGTTTTGTTGCTCCTCTGTTATCTTTACCTGCAATTAATTCCAAGGAGCCGCGTTCCCTTCCCACGAAGATCCCAATATTTCAATATTTGAATAAAAGGAGGGGAGGGGGGGAGAAATAAAAGGACAGCATTCATTATTCAGGTATTAACAGAACCCGAACGATTTTCTGTCCCAAACTCCCGTGAACGGATTCGCAGCTCTGCTCCACCGAAGGATTTCCCTCCGGGTGCCGGCGCTGCTCCCGATGGAGCGGGAAGATCCGGCTACGAAACGCACGATTACAAAACACAAATGCAAACTGCTGAACCCCGCACCGCTCCCCGCAAACCCCCCCTCCCCCTCCTACACTCAGTTTGGGTCCCGAATCCCCGAACTGCGCCACGCACGAGGATGGGTGGTGGAATGGAGGGGGTGCAGCGGGAGGACTTTGTTCGCAGCCCCATTACCAACTGAAAGGGGCTCCTCCCCCCAACCTCCCCCCTCTCTCTTCCCCCCCCCCCCCCCCCCCCCCGGGCGGCACAGCTGGACGAGCACAGCTGGACGAGCACAGCTGCTCCGTGCTGGGTTCACAGAGTTCAACCGCGCCGAGATTGGGAGAGATAGAGGGGGGGAAAGCTGACACCCGAGCAGCTCCACGGGCAGAGCCTGAGCACCCCAGGGGTAGCAGCAAACCCCCGACCCCGACCCCTTCAAGCCCCGGGTCGGTTACTCAGAACCACCCGGTTGTCCCAGGGTGGGATTTTGGGGTGCTGTGCTCTGCCAGGATTCCCACCTGGGTGAAGTTGGGGGGGTGGATCGGCAGAGAAAGACACAACTGTGCAAAGGAGGAGAGGGGTTCACACGTGGGGTGGAAGGGAGGGAGAGGAGCAGCCCCACGTGTGGGTCCCGCAGCGTTTCCCATAGGGGTGTTTGTGCCCTCGTGCTTTTCTGTGCTCCTGCTGCTGGGATGCAGAGCTCAGCCTCATAACAGCCAGGAAGGGGCAGCCCTACGTGGGGGTGAAGGGGCAGATGGGTTCTACATCCTCTGTGCTCCCAAATGAGGCCTTTGTCAAACCTCTCCTCGTTGCTGATTGTTCTGCATATGAAGCCAGGATGGAAATAACCCCAAAGTTGCAGCTGAGGCAGTGGGGCAGCTACAAAACCCCTCAGAGCTGAGGATACAGCATGGCAAAGCTTCTTTTTCTTTTCCTTCACCCAAAATCAACGCTGATGGGGAAGCAGAGGAACCCCAACCTCAGATCCTGGCACCGGGATTCACCCATTTCAGGGGCCGGGCTGGATTGAAATCCCATCACTCGGCGCTGCCCTTTTTTGTGCCGGATCCCAAATATCCTACAGTTGTGGGGGGGGTGATTAACAGCTGTAACGAATGGCTAATTGCCAGCGGTCGTCCGGGCGGTCGTCGGTATTTCCAGCTGAGATGGATCCCAATGTGCCAAACTGGAGGGGAAAAAATGGCACTGGGGGGAGCTGGGGGGGAGGGGGAATGGGGACCCCAACCCTGCAGCTCCTCTGCCCGGCCCCAGCGGTTCCTTAATGACAAAGGGCAAGAGGAGCAGCCCCCCAACCCCCCTCTCCCCCCCCGCCCCAAATCCACCCCCCAGGCTTGGGGAGGGGGGTAGGGGGGGAGGATGAGCACGTTTTCCCATATGGCCTCACGGAGGGTCATTTTCTTTCAGTCGCTCAGAGCATCGAGCCGACCTCCGGAGCTCCGTGGGTTGATCTGGAGAGAGGCTGAAGGACCCCGCGAAGTGTGGGGTGGGGAAGGGGAGGAGCTGCCACCTTCCGGAGGGGTTTGCAGTTCATTATCTTCATTCAGCTTTTCAAAATACATCTATTTTTTTTCATTTCTTGGCGGATTTTTTTTTTTTTTTTTAAGGGAGATATTGGTAACACGGCGGTTCGCCGGAGCCCCATAACTCACAATCAACCCTTGTCCATTCTCCCCTATTGACTGCGTGTAAACACGGTAAATGAAAGGCCTTTAGTGACACTTAATCCCTCACCTCCTCCCCCCCTCCGCCCGCCCGGAATGGGGCTTCGCTGCTTCTTTCTCACAGCCCTCGGTGTCACCGAACCCCCCCCCAAATTCATCATGAACGCCCTGACACGAAGCTAAATAAAAGCAGCCCCCCCCGCACCTTGCTCTGTGCCCTTTCCTGCTTTGGGGCACCAAAGAACCCCGAAAATGGGGGCTCACAGCTCTCTCCCACGCCGATCCCTGCAGATAATTAACGTAATTATTAAATGACCTTCTTTAAAAGATAATCGTGATAATAGCGGGGTCATTTGGCTGCAATCAGAGCTCTCTCTCTCCCCCCTTCCTCCATAGCAGCCCGTCCTGCCCTGAATCTTCCTGCTCTCTGCGGGGAGGGGGGGGGGTGCTGTTAGATTTAGGCTGAATTTCCTTTAGCAATGTGAAATGTTGGGAAGTGGAAAGCATTGCAGCTCGGATTCCTTTCCTCCAAGCCAGATCAGGAGCAGGAAAAAAAAAGAAAAAGAAAAAAAGGCGTAAAACCTGCGAATCGATTTGCAGCACAAACCCACCTCCTCCTGCAACGCCGGGTTTACCTGGCCGCCCATCGGGGGATGCTTCCGTGGCAGCGAAATAATGCGCGGCTCTTAATTAGCACTAATGAGGCTCTGAGCGCGGGTCCCTTTCGCTATTCCCGTTTTCCTCAGTGTGGGTCAGATCTCAACCCGCCCGGCCCCCAAATCGCTTTTCTCCCTCCCTTCCCAACGCGTTGCGGGTGGGAGCTGCTCCTCGGCTCCGGGTCGGGTTTGTTTGGCTCCGAATCTCCCGAAGCTCTCCAATAAGAACCGCAAAAGCACCCCAAATTCTCCTTCCACGTGAGGCACCGAATCCCGAGGCCCTCAGAACCAAACCACGGGGTTCCGAAGCGGAATGAAAGCAGCGATTGATTTCCTATTAAACACGGAAGAAAAACATTTCATCGGGGGTTAAAATCGGTCCGGAAACCTACGGTGAAGTCAAATCTACGTGTGTGCACTGGGGGCTGCGTGTTTGCACACACACCAACCCAACCCCACGGCCACAAAGCCCGTGAATATGGAGTGTGTGCAGCCAGATGCGGAGCTGAGAAAAGCAGCGTGGGACAACAGCGTTGGGATGGGTGCAAACCCCCCCCCTTCCTCCCCCCCAGCTCCAGGACGGCAGCATCCCAGCGTCCCCACACACAGCCGACACACAACAGAACAGCATTTCTTTATTTCTCAGCCTAGATTCCATATTGCACGCGGGAATGAACACTTTCATCGTCAGACACAAACAGCTTCAAATAAATAAAGGTACAGTCAACCTAAAGAGAACAAAACGATGCGCGCCTGGCAAAGCTCCGTTTCTCCCCTCCTCTCCCAACCCCCCCACGGCTGCCCCCACCCCCCCACAGCCATTCCCTGCACCAAAACGTGCCGTTTTTCAGCCCATTGATGGGCTCAGAATGATGGGGATTTTCCACCCAGCGACGCACATTGAGAGCAAAGGTCCCTGAAAACCCCGGCCCGACAAAAACCCTCCCGAACTGCAATTCCACATCGGATCCAAGCTGAGATTTTCCTGAGTCTCGCTGCGTTTTTGGAAGCAGCAACGCCCTTTTCTTAAAGTTTTCTTTATTATTATTATTATTATTATTATTTTTCCTCACAAGAAGAGCTCTGCCTTTTTCTCCTCCCCGGATGAAAACGTGAAAACGGGAACGACGACGACCAAAAAAATAAATCAGTTTTGCTTCTTCTGCACCCGTTTGGAATTCAAGTGACGGTGGCACCACCGGGAAGGCGCCTTCCTGTCCACGATGCCATCCTGGCCACTCGTATAAAATCTCTGCTCCCGACCAGAGGGGGTTGGTTGCACCCAGAGCTTCCCCTCCTCCCCGCTCTGTGCTCCCAAAGCACCTCTCTGAGTTCTGAGCTCCGAATAAAGCCGTTTTGGAGAACGCTTTGGGTTCCCATCTCCTATCCGGGGGGGGCTGAAGGTGGGGGTTATTTTGCTGCGTCGCCAACTTCTTCGCAACGTCGAAACGAGCACAAATGGAAGAGGCTGTTCCTGTCTGTCCCATTATTTTTGTGCCGTGAAACGGGGGGTTTATTTCCGCGGCTGGAAGAACGGAAAGTTCTGAGGTATCTTCGTACTGAATTCCCAGCCCTGCTGCCACCCACCTGCACCGCGCACCCACAAACCCCCCCAAAAAACCCCGAGTTGTGACCCGAACAGCCGCTGGGTGAGGTGATCACATCCCGGAGAGAAAACGTTCCTGAGTTATTTCTTGTCCTCGACCCCCCCCCCCCCCCCCATCCCCCCTCCAGGCACGCGGAGCGGCGCGCTCTGTTCGCTGCCGCTGCTGCTTTTTTCCCCGTTTGTTTTTTTTTTCCCCCGATTCCTTTGTCCTCCCGCTCCCAGCTCTCCATCCTCCACTCGGCCGCTTTTTTTTAATTCCTATGAACTGTTTTCCTTTCCGAAAAAAAAATTGAGGTTTTAATCAGAATCCGGGGAGAGGGAGGGAGGGGGGGGGTGGAGATGTGAGCAGCCACATCCCGGCCGCGTCGGAGCGCGGAGCCGATCGAGGGAATCCGAAAGAAATCCCTCCCTGCTCAGCGAGAGAGAAACGGTGGGGGAAGGGGGGGGGGGGGAGGGGGGGGGGGGGAAAGGGGGTGTAAACAAACCAAAAAAACCCGCTCCAAACCCAAGTAAAACAAACACCGCTTTTAGCAACAATTCGCCGTCTCCAATATAAACAGCGCTGAACAGAGACAAAATACGTTGGACGTTAAAAACGCCTTTTTCTTTCTTTCTTTCTTTCCTTTTTCTTTTTTTTTTCTTTTTCTTTTAACTCTCGGATAAAGTTTAACTCCCCCCCCCCCCCCCCCCCCCCACAAAAAACAAAAAGAAATATAGGAAGAAAGAAAGAAAGAAAGAAAGAAAGCGGGCCGTGCCGTGCCGGCTCCGGGGGTTCCGTGCTTTTCTCCCTTCCTCTCCCTCTTCCCTTCCCATTCCCCGGGCTCAGCTCTGCGATGGGCTCCCAGCCGGGGGTCGCAGAAAAGCTCCCACCCCGACCCGCAGCTGCGAATGGAAAAGAAGGGGAACCCCCCCCTCCTCCCCCCCGCTCCGTAAAGCCGCATCTCTGGGCTTCGCGTTCCCGAAACGAGACGGAGGGCTTCGCAGAGCAGCGGTCCGAAGGGCCGGCACAAAGACGCTGCTTTGCGAGGAAAGTTAAAGCGGGGTTTGATTTCCTCTGCACAGGGCGACGCATTCCCTCCGCATTCTTCCCCGCATTCCACCCCGGAGCTCGGGAAGGATCAAATTGTCCATCTGTGCGCTATTGCTAATGCTCCTGGATCCGATTTCTCGTGCCCGTAAAGCTTTTACAGGCCTGCTACCTTCGGGCTGTCGGAGCGGGTTGTTATCCAGCAAACAACCCCCTGCTCTGCCTTTCCTTTCCTGTTAATACACACGCAGCAGTCTCAAATAACTTCCCCTCAAAGCCTCCTGTTTTCTTTTAGCAAACAGCATTTCCTGCTCTTTTTAAAGTCGGTGTTTTCATCCCGTCCCTGAAGCAGACAGAAAACATTTGGGGATCGCGATTAACGCGGCGATTTGGGATCGCCGGCCGTCGGTTTCGTTGGGACGGAGCGGGGCCGAAACGCGAGTTTCTGCTGCGTGACATCATTCGTTCTCTCTGCGTGTGATTATTATGGGTTTAATCCAATGCATTTATGGAGGAAAAGGGAGAAATTGGATCTATTCTTTCCTCGTGTCGGCTTTTTTTTTTTCTCTTTTTTTTTTTTTTCCTTTTTTCTTTTTGGCATCCAGAGGTGGGGCTGCGGTTGGGGTTGGGGGGGGGGAGGGGGGAATTGATGGGGCGATGCTGAGGGCCCGGACCCCCCCTCACCCCCCCCCGTCTCCCCGTTCTGCCCCAAAGCCCCGTCGTGCAGCAGAGAAGGGGGGAGGGGGGCGGCTCCGAGCGCGTTAAACCTCCGCTAAACCAACTCCGGATCCCGACACAACCGGGACAACGGAACCGACCCCAACCCCAGCGGGGAGCTCTTCTCCTCCTCCTCCTCCTCCCTCTCCTCCTCTTCTTCCTCCTCACCCCCCCCCCTCCCGCCCCATTCAGCCCCGCTCAGCGCCCCCCCTTCCCTCGCCCCCTCCCTCCCCCCCCCGCATCTGCTGCGCGCAACCTTTCGTGCGGGGCCGTCCGCTGTCCTTAGAGATCCTCCAAGCTATAGCCCCGGAATTTGAGGCTGGGGGGCACCGGAATGGCGTTGCCTCCCACGTGCCATCTCCACAGCGGGTGGGTTTTGGAAAGGGCCCAGGAGTTTTTGCCCCCCAGGGAGGAGGCAGGGCACAGATCCCCGTCTTCCCCCACGACCAAGGAGGGAATACACGGGAAGTTGCCCATGAGGCTGAAGGAATTCCGAGGCGGGGTTGGCCCGGCGCTGCCGAGGCGTTTGCAATGAGTGTTTCCCTTTTTGGCATTCCTCCTTTGAGTCTTTTGTGGCCTCCCTTTGGAGGAGCTCTGTTGCCTTTCTGCCTCAGCGCCTCTGGCAAGGCGTCTGCGCTTGGCATTCCTTTCCGAGCCATTGCCTCTCAAAGCTTTGTTTGACAAGGTGCCGGGGCTCTCTGCTCTTTTGGAGCCGGGGGATTTGAGCTCTGCAGCTTTGCAGGGCTCCGTCCTCCCTCCGTGCCGCAAACTTTTCCCGTCCACGTTGAACCCTTTGGCGTAGCACCACAGCTTGGACTGCCGGATCAGGCGGTCGAAGTGCTCCCGCCGGGGCTCCGCCGCTTCCCCGGGGGGGTCCGGACCGAGGCCCCCAGCCAGCGCCGGAGATGGGGCCGGGGGCTCCGGGGGCGGCCCTTGGGAAGCCGCCGGCCCGGCTGCGGCACCGCTCTGCCTCTCCGCTCGGTCGCCGGGGCCTAACGAGGCTCTATTGTTCGAGGCATCTTTGTGCAAATCCTTTCCTTTGGCGCAGGGCTCCGCGCCCCCAAAGCCGCCCTCCTTTTGTGGCGGGTCCCCCCCGGGGGTGCCGCTCGGGGAGGGGGGGGGAGAGGAGGAGGAGGAAGAAGAGGAGGAGGAAGAAGTGGAGGCCTCCTGCTTCGCGTACGGCTCCGGCTGCGCCCCCGAGCCCAGGGTCGGAGCCGAGCTCAAACTTTCCGAAGTTGACGCTCGCAAAGTCCTGGCCCAGAGCTGCTGAGAGAGGAAGAGGAGGTCGGGCTCTGCCCGCAGCGCTTTGCCCGCACCCGGGGGGGGTTCCGACGGCCGCTCGTCGCCGAGGGGCTCCCGGGGGGGCTGCGGCTGGAAGCGGGGCAGAGCCGCCTGCCTGTACCGGGTGCTTTGCACCGAGTCCCCGCTGCACAGCGAGCTGCTCTCCGACTCCGAGGAGCTGCCCTCCTCGCTGCTGCACGACGTGTCTCCTTCCTCCTCCTCCTCCTCCTCCTCCGACGAGTCGCTGGAGGTGGCGGGGCTGGACCCCGCGAAGTCCAGGCTGGAGTCCGAGTCGCTGGAATACCCGGCAGAGGTGCCCTGCCGCTTGCAACCGGGAAAGGCGGACGAGCGGCTTTTCCTCCCCCCCGAGGGGCCCTTCTCGGCCTGGAAGAACCCTTTGGCGCAGCGGGGGCCGAGGCCGGGGTGGGGGGCGGGGGCTGCGGGGTGAAGCAGCGTCAGGTCCCGGGGATACGCGCCCAGCGCCCCGGCCAGCAGCCCCCCGCTCTCGGGCAGAGCGCAGCCCCTGCGACCCCGCGGGGCCCTGTCGAGGCCGGGGCAGTCCCGAGGGAAGGGCTGCGGGAGGAGAGCCGCGGGCGGCGGGCGCGGCTTGAGGCCGGGGGGCAGCTTGGGGCGGGCGGGGGTCGGGGACGAGCAGCAGCCGCCGGCTCTGCAGGACGGCAGCAATTGGGGCCGGGGGCAGGAGAAAAGCTCCCCGGGGTCCGGCAGCAGCAGCTGCTCCCTCCTCTTGCTTTTCCTCTTCCTCTTCCTCCGCCGGGGGCTGAGGCTCTTGCAGGAGGTGCAGAGAGCCTCCAGGTCCGCTTTGGAGATGAGCGAGCACTTCACGGCGCGGGTGGGCACCGAGTTGATGGCTTTGAGGGTGCGGAGCTCGTGGAGATCGCAGCGGCGGCTCTTAATCTTTAAGGTTTCCATCTTCTTGCTGATGGTGGTCCTGGGGATATCCTTGAACAGGTCGCTGAGGACCTGGGCCAGAGCAAACATCTGAGTGCCATTGATCTGTAAGTATCCCAAGTTTATCCCTTCGATTTCTTGATAGCCGGCGTGGAAATGCCCCGGCCCGGCGTCCCCATTGTAATCCATGGTGGCTGGAACAATCCCGAAGGTCCCTTCGCAGGTCAGGAACATTTTGCAAAGAGCGTTTACTTTGTCTCTTTCAAAGGGGGCATTGAAAGTAAGGACATATTTGTTTCCACTCCGTGATCACACATCGCTGCCCCTCCGGAGAGGTGGGGGAGGGAGCGGGGGAAAAAAAATAGGAAAAAAAAAAAGGGGGGGGGGGGGGGAAGGAAGGGGGGAAGCCAAAGCAGTCGATCGCCCCTTCAAACGTTCCAGTCAACGGTGTGCAGCATCTTCCCAACACCCCGCTCCTCCCGCACTGGAGCCGCACTTCTCTTCTTCCCCCTCCCCAGCATGAAAAAAAGAAGGAAAAAAAAAGAAGTCAAACATTTCGAGTCCTGCAGCTCCCCCAGCCAGGTCCCAGCCCACCTTCCACTCCCAAAATAATCCCTCTGGGGGGCGGGAGGGGGGCGGGAGAAGGGGTGTGTGTGTGTGTGTGTGTATGGGGGGGGGGATCAACAAGCACAGAGCCCTCCGCCGCTCACAGCCTCTGAGGTATCGGAGCGCACAAAGCTGCTCGGAGGGCCGGGGGTCGGGCAGGGGGTTGGGTTGGGTCTGGGGGGGATCCGTTCCGATCGCTGCAGCCTCTCCGGGCTCCGCGCTTCGCGTTCGGTTCGTCCCGGAGCTGTCGGACCCCCCGCGGCCCGAAGGCTGATTGGGTCCCGGCGCGCCGTGATGTCACCAACCCCAACATTTCACACGCACAGCCCCGCGCACACAATGGGCACCGCGCTTTTTCTCTGTTAAAAATAAAATAAAATAATAATAATAAAAAAAAATTTTAAAAAATAAAATTAAATTAATTAAAAAAAAATCTCATCAGGAGTCGCGTACCCGAGCTCAGCTCTCCGGGCGTTTTGTTTCAGCCCTTTTTGGGGGGGAAGGAGAGGGGGGAATTTCGGCCCTTCTATAACGCAGCCCTTCCCAAAACGTCCCCCTGGATCGCACCGTGGAGGCTCCGGGCTGCCGGCGAGCTGCTCGCAGCCACCGACTCCGCTCCCATTCATCCCTCAGCACTGAGAGGAGCCCTTATTAATTGCCAATTACTGCATTTATGGTCTGGAAGGAGCACGGGCTGGAGGTACGGGTGTAACTCCAGCAGCAGAGCGGAGCAAAGCCGCGCAAAGATCCTTCAAAACCCCTTTCTACTCACGCGGCCTTTATTCACATCTCACCTTTATCTCGCAAAACCCCTTTAAAAAAGGGGGGGGGGAAGAAAAAGAAAAAAAAAGACCAAAAAAAAAAAAAAACCCCCAAAAAAGGAATAATAACAATTAAAACAAAAATAAAGAAATCCTTTCGCGCGCCGTTGCGCTGCTGGAACTTCGGCGCAAAGTTGGGCGCTCGCTCCCCGCCCCACAAACCAAAGAGGGGATGGCAGAATTCTGCCTCCAAGAGGAAAACAAACCCCAAACCCACGGCCCTTCCCCGGCCCGGAGCTCCGCTCTCCCATCCCCTCTATTCCTCCCCAAATCCTGAGGAGGTCCCTGCAAGGAGCTGCAATGCGGGGCTGATTTGGGGGCTGCAGTTACCTCGGAAACCTTTTTGGGGGAAGGGAGGCTGCAGCTCTGCATTGCACGCCGCTCCCTCTCGAGCTTCGTCTGTCTCCCACATGAAAAGTCCCTGTCGGTCCTCCGCGGCTTTTTTTTTGTGGTTCGAATGGCGAAATCGGAGTAATTTGATAATAATGATTTGTTAAACTCCGCGTACGATCGACCGCAAACGATCCCGATTTAGAAACAATCCCAGAGGAGGAGGAGGAGGAGGAGGAGGAGGAGGAAGCGCATTCCTGAGGACGTGTGTAAAAAAATTTAAAATAACTCCGCCGTCGGCCGCGATTTGGGAGCGGGGATCACCTGATTGCATTCACCTTCTGGCTGCTGGGAGAGATGGGTTCCTCTGCGGCACAAACCGATGGCCGGATTTCTCCCTTCCCAGCACACGTGTGCGCGCAGCCCGCGGCCTCACCGGGCGGAGAAAATGCCCCGTTTCTGCAGCTGTGGTTGTAAGAGCGCGGTACGTTTCGCCTTCGTTTTTCCACAGGCAGAGAGTTTCCTGTGAGTAAAGGGTCCGTTTCCAACACAAACACGAAATTCTCTCTTTGTTTGGGGAGAGGGGAGGGGAAGTTTTGCATCGCGATGGTCGGAGCTGTGCGGCCGTTGAGGGTCCGGCTGGTCGCCTGGCTGCAGCCGCCCCGTGCACAGAGCAAAGGAGATCCCGGTTATTTTTGTTTCCAGCCCAAATCAAAGCCTTTTTTCTTTCTTTTTCTTTTCTTTTTTTTTTTTTTTACCTATAGCTGAGCTTTGCTGCGTGCCAGACTGGAGGAGGGGAGCTGGCATTCGCAGCCCCGTCCGATGCGGCCGTGGGTTCGATGAGGGGCTCTGGTAAAGAAAACACAAATCGGGGCGGTGCAATAAACGGCTCCTTGGGGTGCGTGGGGTTGCAGAGGGGGGCACCGGGACCCCCGAGCACAAAGCAGGGGGAAACGGCCTCGGAAAGCTGCGGCGTTTCCCTGCAAATCTCTGGCAGTGGGAACCCGAACCAGCAGTGATTTGATCGTGAATAAAGTTCAGTGTGGAATCTGGTGGTGGGGGTGTAAAAGGGGAGGGAAGGGGGGATTCGTGCAGATGCAGCTTGGTGTGAGGTGCACGGGAGCTTTGCAAACCCCGTGGGTGCATGGAGGTGTGCTGGGTGCTCACAGAGGGGAGCTGCTTGCTGAGTGTTTCACCAGCAGCACGACTGCTCTGTGCTGCTCCTGCTGGGGGTCGTGAACTGTGTGCGTAGCAAGGGCTGCATGGGTTGCAAAAGCTTCAAGGGTTGCATGGGCTGCATGGGTTGCAAGAGCTGCACAGGTTGCATGGGCTGCATGAGCTACAAGGGTTGCATGGGTTGCAAGAGCTACAAGGGCTGCATGGGTTGCAAGAGCTTCAAAGGTTGCATGGGCTGCACCAAGCCCTGGGAATTGGGCACACATTTGGAGTCACGGCCCATTCCTGCTCCCAGGGATGGAGGATGAGAACCTGGTGTTCCTGCCGTGGTTCTTCCCTTTCAGACGGATTTCTCCTCAATATCCACTGGGCTGCAGTTCCTGCAGGAAGCAGTGATGGGCTGCTGGGATTCTCCTTTTCCTTGGGGTCCCCAAGATGCAGAAGGATCCCCCCAAACACACACCTCCCAGCCCTACACTGTTGGACTCTGCCACGGCTCTGGGGACAATCACAGACTGGGGGGAGGCAAAAGCAGAGCAGGAACTCCAGAAAACTGCAGATGTGTTTGGGCTGACCCTGCTGGGAAGGAGCTGCACGTGAGGGAAACAGGAAAGGGAAAGGAAGAGGGAAAGTGCAGCCCTTCCTTGCGCTCCCTTCGCCATCCTGAGGTCACTCCTTGCTCTCTCTGCATTACTTCTCTCCCAACAAACCACTCTGCAGCATCCCCTGACAGCAGAACTTTTGGGTTCTTTGCTTTCCCAAAAACGACTGGACGACGAGGAGATCATCCAAGGATAAACGTGGGACATTTTCCCTCCAGCGAATTTCAGGGCAAGAAATCTGCCCCCTTTGTTTGCCCCTCTGTTTGTTTTCCCTTTCATTTCAGCCTGGAGAAGGCAGGGGAAGCCTCTGGTTGCTCACTGCACCTTGATTTCCTGTGAATTTGTCTTAAAAGCTCTTAAAAAAATGCTGGGAAAAATATATTGTTGTGGCTGAGATGAGCTTAAACCAAAGGATTCCTCACCATCCCATAGCGCTGCTGTTGGGAGGAGCGTGGCTGGACAGCCACAGCCTTCCCCTTTTCCCCGCAGCAGGGAAGGGCCCAGGGGTCCATCCCATCACTGCATGAGCTCATCCTTTCTCACCAAGAGCGTTTCTACATCTATTCCAAACACAGACAAAATCATTTCTCAGTTCTGGCATGGGCAGCACAGCACACCTGCCTGCCTTCCTTCACCTGGAGGTTTGCTCTGAATGCAGACCGTTCTGATTTGCAGCTCCCCCCCCCTCCAACCCCAAAAGACAAACAGCGTTTTTCAAACCTCCCAACGTTTCGTGTTGTCAAACTTGAAAAGGAAAACCTCCTCTCTTTTCTTTTTTTTCTCTCTTTTTTTTTTTTTTTACCTTTTACAAAGTATTTCTCCTGCCCGCCATTGATTGACAAGTTTATTATTATTATGAATGGATTCTCCCATTTCCCAGTCCTCTTCAAGGCCTGATGTGGATTGAGAGCCTGACCAGTTGCTTATTGACCCATGATGGCTATACAATGACCCCGCTGCCCCCAGCGTGACCCTGGGACCCCCGCAGGACCCAGCCCTGCAGAACAGCACTCTGATATGCAAAGCTGGAGCTTTATGAGCTTTGGGGAGGGGGAGGCTGGGAGTGGGCGAGGGTTTCCTTGCCAGAGACGTGTTTATTGTAAATAAAAAGGCAAAGGGGCTGCTTGAAAGGGATGCGTCCTAAAGGAGCGCAGCCATCTCTGCAACGGGAAGCCCTGCTGCCCTCCTTGCTGGTGGCGATGGCAGGGAGGGCTGATGCTCTGCCAGCTCTTCTCCCTGCTTGGGGAGCAGCTTTGGGCTGAGGATGAAGCCCCTCTGAAGGAGGAGGGCAGAGAAAAGCAGCGATTCTCCCCTCACCTATGCGCACAGTACAGCACCGGGAAGGGAGGCCTCGGGAAGTGCAGTGGTGGATGGATGAAACAACAAAGGTCGGGGCAGATAGCAGCGCCCATGTTGCCCTTTTGTCTTCCTCAGGGAGGGAACGAAGGGGAAATCATCCCCTCCTCCCCCCCTGAAACGAGGCTTCTTTCAGCAGGCACTGAGAGCTGATAGCTGGGCTCGGGGGTGGGAGCGCAGGGAGCAGCTGTTTTGTGAAGCAGCACTTCTCTCCATTTCAGAAAGCCAAAGGGGTCCCGCTCCCCACCCTCACTTAATGGAGATGCAGTTGTTTAAATGATTTCCCTCTTCCCAAAACAAATGCAGGAGAAGGGGAGCTCATTTTTTATCCTAATGGATGGACGGCTGAGGACAAGCCTTTGAAGAAAGCGGCTGTCAGCAGTGGGAGATACCCACAGCATCTGGCTTAGATAGGTAGAAAGCAAAGAGCAACCTGCATTCTTGGCGAGGATGGATGCCCTCAGATTATAAACCCCTGCAATCGTGTTGGGTCTCACCATAAACACAGCAGCAGCGCTGCTCTGATCCCCCCCCCCCCCGCAACACATCTGGGTTGTAAAGTTTGCTGCTTTCTGGCAACAGCAAACATCACTGTAAAATCTTGCTCTGGGTGAGCGGGGTTTTGGCTGAGGTGTTTGTTTGGTGTGACAGAAAGCATGAGTGTGAGTGTGAGTGTGAGTGTGAGTGTGAGTGTGCCCCCCCAGTGCCTCCAGGTGGGTGCAGGGTGGGAGCACAGAGCTCCAAAGAGCAAATCTGCAGCAGTTCCTAATCGAAGCCCCATGCGTTTCCATGCCGAGGAGAGCTGGATAAGAGGAACAGGCACCGTGTTCAAATATCCCAAATTAAGATGCAGCTCTCGGTCTGCAGAGCACAAACTCGGTACACAGGAGCACAGAGACACGTCAAACCCTCACGGAGCCCTGGAGCAAAGCGTCCGTGTGTCCCTTCACAGCTCTGTGCATGCACAGAACTCACAGAGGTCGGGGTTCAATCTGCCCCGGCGCCCCCCATCCTCTCGAGCTCCTCCACTCAGAGCTGCTCTGTCTGCTGCCAAACGGGCTCAAACCCAGCAGTGTGAGGTGCAGGCTGAGTTATGGAGAGGCTGAGGATCGTCCTCAGGTCCTTCTCACGAATGATTGTTGTGCTTTGGGTGTAGGGGAGGGAATTGCATCTGTTGGCCCAGATCTCTCTGGTCCTGGAGCTCTGCAGAGCTGACAGCTCTCACCTTTACCTGCAGAGATGAGCTTTGGCTGTCCTGGAAAAATAAAAAAAATGAAAGAAAAACTCAAAAAGTGGAGGAGGGGGGTTGGAAGGGATTGCACTGAACCCTGTGCACCCTCAGCCCCAAAATGCCTCCTGAGCAGGAACGGGTTTCCAGTGGGGTATTTCTCTGCTCCACCCAAAGGGGAGGCAGAAAAGAAGTGCTTGGCTTCAGCTGGGAAGGGGGGGAGAGGACGGGGGGGGGGGAGGGGGGATGTGGGGGTCACAGGAGGGGTTGGGTGGACGGGGGGGTCTGAGCAGAGAGAAAGGGATGGATGGGCTGTTGGATGGACGGACGGACGGACGGACGGATGGATGGATGGACGGAGTTGAAGAAACTGCCCTACAGAAGTCCTTTAATTCGGTCTGTGACGCTCATTCCCGCGTGTGAAAGCTCTCACGTCCTCGGAAAAGCCGACATCCGCCCAAGAGCGGACCCGGCCCCCTCCAGCCCCTCTCCCCCTTTCTCTGCCCCCCAGCCCCCGGCTCTGCCCCCCGTACCCCGGGGCGGGGGAACACGCGTTGCGGGCGCCCTCCGGAGGCTCCGTCGCGAGCGGCCCTCGGGGAGCGCATTTGGGGGGAAAAAAGGGAAATTTTCGGCTCGCCCAGCAGAGGTCCCCGCTGCCTTCCCTCTGCGGGGCCGGGGTTCCTCCTGCACGGAGCCGGAGCTGAGCTCTCAGGTGGAGCAGAAGAACATTGGATGGACGGACAGACGTCGGTAACGCGTCCTTAGCATCGCTCACGTGTGAGGCCGCGATCTCCAAACAACGGCCGGATTTCCATCCCTCCGCCCACCGAGGAGCGGCGCTCAGTG